TTTCCGAGACAATATCGCTATGGAAGTAGATGGCCCAACCTTCCTTCCAAGGAGTGGCTGGTGGGTTTGAACTGCCAGCCTTCTGGTTAGCAGTCAAATGCCTTAGGCACTATGCCACCAGAGCTCCCTTTCAATATATATATAGATAGATAAAATATATTAAAAAAAGAAAACCAGTTGCCGTTGAGTTAATTTTAATTCGTGGAGACCTCACATGTTTCGGGGTAGAACCACGTTCCATAGAGTTTTCAATGGTTGTGATCTTTGGGAAATAGATTATCATGTCTTTTCTTCGAGGCACCTCTGAGTAGATTTTGGCCATTAGCTGAACACCTTGCCGTTTGGCCACCCAGGGACTTCAAGATAAAATAGAAAAGTATAATGTAGAAAGGAAAGGATTCGGTTTCTAGATTCTGGTTGAAGTAGTAAAATATCGACTGTAAATACACTATGAAAAGTATGTATATTGCAATTCCTAGAGCAATCACTGAGGGAAAAAAACATAGAGAAAGATATAGGCAAAGACACAACAAAGAAATGGAAATAGAATACAGACAAACGTTCAAATAACACAAAAGAAAGCAGAAAGCTAGAAACAGGAATAAAAAGAATAAACAAACAGAAAACAATAAAATTGTAGACCTAAATACAAACAGATCTACAATTTTATTAAATATAAGTAGTCTATAAACACACCAATTAAACCATGGAAATTGTAAGGTTTTTTTTTTTTTTTTAAAAAAAATGCTTTTAACATAAAACTCACTTCAGATACAATGCTATAGGCAGGTTAAAAGTAAAAGAATAGAAAAAATATAATGTATAAACACAAATCAAAGAGAGCTGGAACAACTATTTTAATATCAATTTTATTTAATATCAATATTAATTAATAGACTTCAGAGCAAAGAATACATAATGGATACATAAGGGATAATACATAATGATGAAAGAGTAAACTCACCCAGAAGCCATAACAATCCTAAATGTCTATGCACAAACAACAAAATTGCATACTATAGGAAACAAAAATTGACAGAACTGAAAGAGGAAAGAGACAAATCCACAATTATAGTTATAGATTTCAACAGTCCTCTCTCAGTAATAGATGGGACAAGTAGACAGAAAATTAGCAAGGATATATAAGAACTGAATACTATTATCAACCAACTGAATCTAATCGACATTTATAGAACACTCCATCAAACAATAGCAGAATACACATTCTTTTCAAGTGTACATGGAATATTCACCAAGATAGACTATAGTCTGGATCATAAAATAAACTTTAAGCAAGCTGTTCACACAGGAGCTTTTGAAAATGTAAAGTATTGGTTTGGTTTAGAAAGAAAGAAAGAAAAAGAAGATTAGTGAATATCAAATACAGTAAAATTTTGTTTAGATCTATACTTGATTCTATATTTTTCATCATAAAGTAGAATTTGTAAATGTGTTTACCAAAAGGAATAAAGAGTTTTCCTATAAAATATCAATAGGTCCGAAGACTGTTGACTTTTAACCTTGATTATGCCTGTTTGTAATATGAAACCACAACCATTAAAATTTTGTAATTTTCATGCTAGTAAACTGTGACTGTTCACTCAGTGTTCTTAAGCTTATTCACTAACCTTGAGATAATTAACCCCCTGAAATGACCTTATATTCAGTTAACTTATATTCAGTTATCTTCAGTTAACCCCAGTTAACTGAATATAAAAGACTGCAGATCCTCTTAGAATTAGGAACACATCTACAGATATTTATCCTTAAAGAGTTATTTTATGCACATCCATGTTCATCACATTATTCACAATAGCAAAAGGATGGAAACAATCTAGATGCTCATTAATGCATGTGGTACATACACACAATGGAATACTATGCAAAGTTAAGGAACAATGATGAATCTGCTAAACATCTCATAACATGGATGAATCTAGAGGATATTATGCTGACTGAAATGAGTCAATTGCAAAAGCATAAATACTGTATGAGACCAGTACTACAAAAAGTCAAAAAAGATTTTCACATAAAAACAAGTATTCTTTGATGGTTACCAGGACTGGGAGGGGAAAGGTGGGTAAACCACTAACTAGAGGGTAGACACATATTAACTTGGGTGAAAGAGAAGGCAGTATACAATAAAGAGGAAGTCAACACAAAATGATCAAGAAAAGAAGATGCTGGGAGGAGTACAAGAGTTAAAGGCAACAATGGTAAATTCTACATATAATCCTGCAATAACAGTAATAGCAATAATCAATATTCTATAAGGTACATGAGCTGAACAGGTGTGGGATGGAGAATAGGACTATACTCACAAATATGTTTAGGTCTGACAAGGTATTTCTACAATGCACTTACATATGCTGCAAATACATCCATGAATATAGTAAAGCACATAGAGGACAAAGTTATGAAAACTTCTTAGCTAAAACCAAACACCTTGAGGGAATGAGTCACTGGGCCTAAGGACTCAAGACCATAGTACTGGGGGACATCAAGGTCAACTGGCACAACATAGTCCACAAAGACAATGTCCTACACATCCTACTTTGGTGAGTAGCGACTGGGGTCTTAAAAGCTTACAAGAGCCACCTAAGGTACAACTATAGGTTTCTCCCCATCCTGAACAAAGAAGAGTGAGGAAAAAAAGGACACATGGAAACAATTAGTCCAAAGGACTACAGGATCACATGGACCTCAGTATCCAGGACCTTGAGACCAGAAGAACTAGATGGTACCTAGCTACCACTACTAAATGCTTTGAAAGAGGTCACATTAGAAGGTCCTGGATAGAGAAGAAAAATGTGGAACAAAACTCAAAATTATAAAAAAAAAAAAAGAAAAAAAACAGACTTGCTGATTGGCAGAGACTGGTGGACTCCATGACTATGTCCCTTGGTCACCCTTCAGACCTGGAACTGAATTCACTCTCATAGCTGAATTTTCAGTCAAACAATAGGTTTACAAGGTGAACAATAACTCTAGGAAGGTGGACACTCCTTAGAACAATCAATCAATAATTCCAGATCAAAAGGGCAGCATTTGCCCAAGGACAAAGTTCAGAAGGCAGGAAGGGTTAGGTGAGAAGGAGGAATGGAAATAAGAAACACAGCGAGGATGTGGGAGAAGTGATGTTACACTGAGGGGATTACAATCAGTGATATGAAACAAAATGTATGTGAATTGCTGAATGGAAAACTGATTTGCTCTGTAAACTTTCATTTAAATCACAATAAAAAGGTTTTTTTTTAAATGGGGCAATCATAATATTAAAAAGTTAGTTAAGTGTTGAACCTTACTAAGCATCTAAAAAAACTCACTGCCATCAAGTGGATTCGACTAATAGCAACACCTCCTTGGGTGTCCAAGGCGTATCTCCACAGAAATAGATTGCCCAATCTGACTTCCAAGGAGTGACTGGTGGGTTTGAACTGCCAGGCTTCTGGTTAGCAGTCAAATGCCTTAGGTACTATGCCACCAGAGCTCCCTTACTAAGCATAGGGTCAAAGTTATTTTACCAGTAAAACTTAAATGCATTTCTAGAAAGATAAATTTTTTTATTGAGGTAACTATATATATATTTTTTGTTTTCACACAAAGAAAAACCATTTTCCACTTCAACATTTTTTACATGTACAATTTAATATTAATTACATTCATCATGTATAACATGCACATGTATCTGATGGCACAGTGCCTAAGGCATTAGACCGCTAACCAGAAGGCTAGCAGTTCAAACCCACCAGCCACTCCTTGGGAGGAAGACTGGGAAATCTACTTCCATAGAGATACTGCCTCAGCAACTCAAGAAGGGGTCACTATGAGTCAAATTCAACTCAACAGCAGTGAATTTGCTTTTTGGGTTATAACAGATTAATTTTTAAACCCAAAACAGAATCCAAATTTCCCAAGGCACTGAGTATACAAAGGTGAACAAGACAATCCTTATTTTAGGGACCTCTTGTTCATGATATTGGGAGCTCTGATGGCATAGCACCTAAGGCATTTGACTTCTAACCAGAAGGATGGCGGTTCAAACCCACCAGCCACTCCTCGGAAGGAAGACTGGGCAATCTACTTCCATAGAGATACCACCTCAGAAACCAAAGGAGGGGTTACTGTCAGTTTGGATTCAACTCCATGGCAGTGAGTTGTTTTTTTGTTTGTTCTTGATATGACATGGACTAGTAAACAACAACAAAAAGTATGTTATAGTCTTTGTTCGTGTGTTACTACCTGTGAAGGAAAGAAAGAGAGAGAGGGAAAGAACGAGAGAAAGAAAGAATGAGAGAGAGAAAAAAGAAAGAAAATTTAAACAATATGAAGTACGATGGAAGAATATAGTTACAGAAGCAGACGGAAACTTGTTTTATGCCTCAAGTAGGATATCAGGAAAGACGTCATAGTTTTCTAACCCCCTGACTTCATCACCTACCCCTCTCTATCTTGTTCACTACACTCCTACAACACACATCTTTCCAGCCACTGAACATTTCAGATGTGTTTCTATCTCAAGGCCTTTGGACTTGCTGTTCATTCTGCCCAGAACAATTTCCTCACATCTGTACAGAGCTGCTTGTTTCATCATTCAAGTCTTAGCTAAAACAGCAATTCATCAGAGATTTTTCCTGACCTCCCTTGCTAAAGCAGTGCCTTTCTCCATGCACATCAATCTATCTTTTTACCCTATTTTTATTCATAGCCCTTATCACTTTCTGCAAATATGCTATTTATCTGTTTACTTTTTTAGTATGTGTCCCCATACCAGAGAACAAGCTTATTGTCTAATTCATTGCTGTACCCCCAGCACTTGACCAGTGTCTGGTGCACAGTAAGTACTCATAAATATGTTAAATGAGGGCATGATTTGACATGAGTTTTGAAGAATAAAGAATGTACTAGGCAAAGCAGAAGAGGAACACTCCAGAAAGAAAGCAGAACACATGGAAATATGAACACTTGAAATAAGCATGGCAATGGCACATTTGGGAAACAGAATAATTCCAAGTGGTGAGAACATAACAAGCAAAGGAGGAGAGATAAGAGAGAAGCCAAAAGAAGAATTGAGAAGATTGGAAAACATTTTGTATATCAAGCTACACAAGCTATTACAGGGGAGTGACTGAATGCAATCTGTATTTTAGAAATGAAAATAAACATACCATGAAGTATTTGTTTACATTCTGTCTCCTCCTAAAAGAGATTTGAAGTTCTTTACATAAATAAATAATATTTAGTCAAGTTAAAGATGTGTATACCTCTATGACTGAGCAAATTGAGTTTATCAAACTGCCACTAATGGGATCTTGAGATCCAATCAGTAGATACAACACCAAATGGCATTTAAAAAACAAAATGAAATAGCAAAGAAAATCTCAAACTGTATCACACCCAGTAAAGGTAAGCACTGTTCTGTGGAACTTTTGTTTCAATTATAGCCGAGTTATAAGCACTGAGAGGATATATAAAGTATTTCCTATTGATCTAGACAGGGAGCTCTGGTAGCATAGTGGCTAAGGCACTTGACTGCTAACCAGAAGGCTGGCGGTTCAAATCCATCAGCCACTCCTCGGAAGGAAGGTTGGGCAACTGCCTGGGAAACCCAAGGAGGGGGTCGCTATGACGGCAAATAACAACAATTGATCTAGACTAGAGCAAGAGTCTTCAAAGCACTGCCCTCAGGCCAAATTCAGCCCAAGCTTTGCTCCAACACAGCCTTACCTATCTCTTTGCATACTGCCTATGGCTGCATCTGCTTGTCAAGGCAGAGCTGAGTTTTTTTTTTTTTTTTTTTTCATTGTGATTTGGGTGAAAATTTACAAATTCACTTTCCATACAACAGTTCACAAACACTTTGTCTCATGACATTGACTACAATGCAACAGCTCCTCTCCTACTTCCTCCCGATAGTTACCTCTTCCCTGTGTCCATCCCTCCAGGCACTCCTGCCCCCTGAGCTGTCTCCCTGTGCATACATAACCCTTCTTTCTCCCATGATTGATCTCTACAAGGAGTGTATCTACCTCAGGTAAATGTTCAACTCATATACCTGTCTTTTGTTTGGCTGGAAGTCATAGATGTGAGCTCAATTCCAGACCTGAAGGGCAGCTAGGGGCCATGGTCTCAGGGGTTCCACCAGGGTCTATCAGACCAGCAAACCTGGTCCCCCCTTTTGTTTCTCAAATGATTTTGAGTTTTGTTCCACATTGTTCTCCCTCTCTATCAAGGATCTCCCTATATAGATCCCCCTCGGAGTGGCTGACAGTGGTAGCCGGGCACCATCTAGTTCTTCTGGTCTCACAGTCGTATAGGATGCAGATCGCATGGTGTACCAGTCTCTAGGACTAATTGTTTCCATGAATCTTTGGTTTTCTTCATTCTTCTTTGCTCTGGACGAGGAGAGACCCATCGTTGCATACAGATGGCTGCTTGCAAGCTTTTAAGATCCTAGTGACTAATTGCCTAAATAGGTGAAAAAATGTTTTGTGTAGTATGTTATGCCAATTGAGCTTGAGGTCCCTTGCGACTATGGTCCCAAGTCCACTGGTTCAACTACTCGGTCACTCTGGGTAGCTAGCTGTGACCAAGAAGTGACTACAACCTAGTCCCTTGAGAGCTGAGTAGTTTTAACAGATACCCCACACAACCCATAAAATCTAAAATATTTATTATCTGGCCTTTTATAAGTAAAGTTTGCAGACCTCTGATCTTGAGTAGTGGTTATCAACTGGGAGTGATTTTGTTAATATCTGAAGATACGTTTTGGTTGTGACAACTGGGAAATGGGCTTTATGGGCATATAGCAGACAGAGGCCAGTGATGCTGCTAAATCTCCTACAGTAAACAGGATAGACTCTCATAACAAAAAATTATTTGGCCCAAAATGTCAATCCTCTAAAAATCTGCTAGAGAAATGTCTGTACCTATGTAACAGTAGACGTATACAAGATGCCTATAGCAAACCATCAGCAATACCAAAAACAGACAACACCCCAAATGGCTATCAGCGGTGGATGGGATTAATTAATTGACGCATATTCATGCAGTAGAAGCCTATGAAGCAATGAATTAACTGAGAACTCCAAAGGTATTTTTTTCTTAACTGGCATTCATTGTACTTTAATGCTTTAAATGTACCATATATTTTTAAAGTATTTTGTAATTATAACTTAATAAAAACAATTAGAAAACAGGCTTGGTGAAGGGAAAACAAATGTAGGACAATAAGATGAAGCCAGAGGTATACAGAGTGCATACCATAAAGACCTGCAGAACTGCCAAACTTCTAATTTGGCTCTGATTTTCCCAGCAATCAAAGCAAAGAGAAAGACATAATCAGTTAAAGAATTTGTACTGCCAGTATGATAAAAACTTAATAGTTGCTTGGAAGCAGCACAGCTTTTCCCAGCACTGGAGCATATAGAAAATCTCTCTCGTGAGTTTTCTCAGAGGACCCTGGCATGATAAAGTGAGCAATATCCTCCACAACATCCAAATAATAAATGTAATATTGATTTTCACACAGCTACTCCTTTTAACAGTGACATTTTTGATGCAGCCTAAAAAACACTATTAAGATTTCAGCATTTTAAAATACCAAGTAAGGTACAAAACAGCCTCACTCAATTCCTGCCTAGGATACCTCTGCCAACAAGCACCCTGCAAACCAAGGATGGGGGTGGAGTTGAAGAGGGAAACCAGAATGTGATGAGAGTGTTTAAGGCCCAGGCAGGATATCATGGGTATCATGTAGCAGACTAATCCCATATAACTAAGAGTCTGATAAAGTTTGCTACAATTGTTCAACTTTGAAAGGACTACTGATCATTTTAAGCAAAAAACAGGAAGAGCAAACACATTGCCCTGGAGTCAATTCCAACTCACAGCAACCCTATAGGACAGAGAACTGCCCGTAGGGTTTTCAAGGCTGTAAATCTTTACAGAAGTATATTGCCTTATCTTCCTCCCAAGGAGCAACTGATGAGTTTGAACCACAGACCTTCTGCCAACTGCCTTAACCACTGTGCCACCAAAGCTCCCTTACTATGCCATCAGGGTTCCTATTTTAAGCAAAGTAGGTGTTATTTTAGAAAAATTGGTGTGCATCTTGAATTTGTTGTTGTTATGTGCTGTCGAGTTGGACCCGACTCATAGCGACCCCTCCCCTCCTTGGGTTTCCGAGGCTGTATCACTATGGAAGTAGATCGGTAGATTGCCCAACATTCCTTCCGAGGAGTAGCTGATGAGTGTGAACCGCCAGCCTTCTGGTTAGGAGTCAAGTGCCTTAGGCACTATGCTACCAGATCATCATGAATAGTCCTATCTTAAATTCTCTGATTTCTCTTTTTAAGGTAAAGATACCAGTACTGGCTTGAAGGAGGTGGTAGGATGGGGTAGGAACGAACACAGGCTTATTAGCCACAGCTCCAGACTGCACAGGACATCTTCACTGAACTTTCTAACACTTCATTCAGCACTCTCGGTGATTATATCTTATATCATACAATTGTGGTTTTTAGGGATGTGACGAATTTCTAAAATATTTTTCAATTTTTTTTTCTTCCTGATAATAAAAATACATGCTCATAAAAATTAAAAGGACATAAGAAAAGTATGTAATAAATGTCCCTTGTATTCAAGGTAGGAGTTACTAAAAAAAAAAAAATATCTCATATTTTCCCCAAAACTGGCCCTTCTCCAGTTCCCCTATTCCAGTGAATGGCATGGCCATTAACATAAACTAGACACCTCAGTTTTCCCTGATACTCTCTTTCCCTCAGACTTCATATCTGACCAGTTACTAAGCTCTGGAGAGTTTATCTCCTAAACAGCTCCCTAATACATTAGTTCTTTCTGTCATTAACTGCAAGCACCCTTAGCCAAAATTTTCTAATTTCATGCCTACATTACTGCAACAGCTTCCTAAATGGTCTCTTTGAATCCACCCTTGTCCACCTTTAACCCATTTCTGATCATGTCCTTTCTCCTACTGATTAAAACAGGCATCTTCCCATTGCTCTTAATGATAAGGGATCAGTATCTTTAATATGGCAAACCAGGTGCTCAAAGGTCTCATCTCTACCTGCTTCATCATTCCCCACGGATCTCTAACCATTCCTTCAACAAGTATCCTACCTTCTGTCTCAGATCCTTGGAACTTGCTGTCAAACTGAGTCTGGAAAGTTCTTCTCACTTCACTGAGAGAACTTCAATTTCAGGTATCAGCTAACCACCACTTCGTCAGAAGTCCTCCTGACCTCCCCATTAGATAAAATCCCCAATGTATTTGCCACATCTTACTTGCACAGTACTTATCACACTTGTAACTTTGTCTCCATGTTTTACTTAGGTCTATTGCCCTTACTAGATAGATAGTGAGCTTCCCTGCACCAGCCAAAACATTATATTCCACACCCCCATCATAGTGCTTGGCACACAGGAAGTCTCCCTTCCAGAATATTGGATATGATCCATGCCAAATTCTTTGCCAAATCGGGCATCCCCAAGGGCTAGTAGTCCCTTCTGCTTCTGGCTCTTGCCAAAACATCTCAAGTTACAATTTAAGTGTCATTTCCTTCAAAAAAAATCTTCTCTGATCACCCAATCTAAAATATTTTAGATATTTTATTATTTTTTGTCTCTTCACAGTAACTGTCAAAACCTGTATTTATACTTTTACTTGCATGATCATGTGTTTAATGTCTGACTCATTCACCACGGTATTCTCAAAGCCTAGCACTGGATAAGCGCATAGTAGGCGTTCTGTAATTTATTTGTAAAGCCTGGCTGAATCGGGCCACAAACTCACGT